TCTTTAACTAAGTTTGGAGCTGATCAGGTCATCATAGTGCGTAATGGAAAGGCAAAACAGCGTTTGAAAGCTCTAAAAGTGATTTTGGATTGATTATTACTGTGTTCGAAGTTAAAGGCATGAAGTTTCATGATGTACTCTTGTAGCATTTAACTACGGATTCACTCGCAGTTTTACATGTATGGTATGTCATCATTAAATTTGTTTTAAAGCATGTTATAGTCATTTATTAAAGTTGCTCGGATTGTATGTATTTAGTGTGGCGAGTAATTCTCTCCTATTTGGATGACTATTATGAAAGGATTCGCAACTTCGATTTCGATAAACTTTATATCCTTTCTTCAGAACTCAATCATTCTATGTTGCCATAATCAGAACTAGAGAGCGTCTCTGGAATTTTGATGATGGTGCTGAGAAGAGTGAGCCAATTCGGTCATACTGGAAATGCAACAATCTAGTTGTAGTAAAAAATGAAAATCGACATCTCTACATTGCATTGCATTGACTAAGTCAAGTGGCCCGTCCGAGTGGAATAATGAGGGAAGAATGTATTTTGAACAACGGAAGTGTGAGCAGGTAAATTCATAAAGATTTTCAATGCAATGCAATAATGAGATGAATTTCTAAAGAAACAAGTCCCCCAGGCTATTTTCTGCTTCAAAGAAGTGGAAATAAGAGGAGAAAAATTAGCCTATGCGTATCATTTTCAACAGGTTGTCAGGATTTCCTTCGTAATTCGTTTTGATGAAACAACAGTGAGGACTAATTTTGAATCAGTCGCTCATGCCTTTGAAGAATGTTTCCGATTGCCACAGGCAGCTTCATGTTATGAGGTAGTACTACGAAAAGACGAAAAAATATGATGATGCATCTCTTGCCTATATAGGTGGCATACTTAATAATAAGGTAACTGATTTGATTCATAAATCAAGACGATAGATTTTATAAATCCTTGTAATAATCTTAAATAGTACATAAAAAGAAATGATTAACGCTTGTATAAATTACTAAATAAGGCACAGACAAGATATTAATGACGAGACGAATCTTCAACTCAATATGCACTTTCGAAAAGAAGCAGAAAACATCATTAGCATGGCATGAAAAGTTAGAAGAGGCCGCTGATAGCTAAATCATTCAGTTGATGACTACGAGAATACAATTGTTGCTTCTCAGTACCTATTACGCCGATGCAGAGTTATTGTACTGAAAGAAATAACTACAAGCTTAAGCATCCCGCAGGAATTGAGTATGCTCCAATCCAAAGCGTTCAATTCTCTCTTTAAAATTATAATTCATACTGAACGGTTGAAGTCTGATGGAAGAATCTCGATTTTATATTTATTATTTAAATTAAGATCTCAATAATGCCCACGAGTTTAGACAATTTTTTATGAAGAATGTCCCACAAAACATGATGACGTTACAAAAATTCGTCGGCTTTAATTACCTTATGGACAAAAATAAAGCAATTATAAACTTTTGAAAATTTTTTGTTGATACTGTTACTTATCACATATATTTATGATCATATTTCGAAAGTTGGTCAGGAGGATGGTACCGTTGAAGATTCATAATGCAAAAAAATGAGAGAGTTTGTATGAACAATATAATATCATTTTATATTCCATCAATCCCAATCAGCGCAGATTTTAGCTCTCGGTATTAATCATGCTTTATTTTTTAGCCAATCAGATCATTTATAAACCCATTGAGGAGGAAACCCCTATAAATAATTCATCTATTTGTTTTTCTTTATATCGATTTCTTTGCTTGGAAATATCTAATACGTTTATTCCGTTGGTTTTTATATAAATAAATCAATTAATATACAGTTTAGTGAAATACTATTTTATAATATATTCGGATGCGTTGTTTAGGAGAATGAGCGAGCAACTCACTTCAAGAAATTGTTCAAAAGGGCACGATACGATATATTTCACTATATACATACAGTATACTTAGCATTTTGATACATTTATATAATTTTAATTGAAGTGAGTTACGAATATAGTAAATTAAATGGTCAATCATATAATTTTTGTTTTGATCACAAACCGCTCAAATTGCAATAAAAAAAATATAATGAATCAAAATATTATGAAGAACTAATTTAAATTCTTCAGGACATAGATGAGATGATATACATAAAGAAGGCTGAATAGAGATAAAAAATTGTCCTCGCTCGGAAATTCTAATTTATTATAGAAATGAGGAATGAATTTTTTTTTATAAAAGGCAATTTCTATAGTTTGTTTGTCAAGGGGGTCAACGATCTTGGATAACGAGCTTCCTCTTTAATAAAGATAAGAATTATTGACTTTGCTCATTGATCGATCTGTCATTTTTGGCACCATTTCTTTTAAATATTTGAATTGTGAACGTAAATCTTATTATTTTCCTTAATCCTTGCTTCGAAGACTTTTAGGTTTTTTTTCTAGATCGTTCTTCAAAAAAATTTCTGTGATAACTAATTTTTTAATTTATTTTGTGACTAGGTATATTCTAAGGCAAAGCAACCTTTTCATTTTTTTTATTTTTGTTCATTCGCTAATTTTATTCTTATATTTATTTGCAAGGAGTGAGGGTTCTTGCGCCAAATTTTCTTTTTTATTAATCCCTCGGTTAAGAATTTGATCTTTTGCATATTTAATCTCTATAAATATTCTTGTATACTAACAGTTTACCGGCCGGTTACAGTTCTCGTTGAAGTTCCTACTAATACTATGCAAAGGAATAAAAAAAACTAATAAATTTTTTTTAATTTATCCAATCTCGTAATTGTTTGTTGGCAATTGTTTGAGTTGAATATACCATAAAAGTTCGACATGAAAAATTTAATCCTAGGTGATTGTGATAATTTAATTTAATTAAGTTTATTTTTTTTCTGAATAAAGAATAAGAAGTGTCATGTCATTTGAAAAATTCAAAAAAAAAATAAAGGGAAAATGTGAATAAGGGAGGTAAGGTAGGAAAATTAACATCAAGCAAATACCAAAGGCCGACGATCTTGACCTTTTGATAATGAAGAATCAAAAGATATTGAAAATGTATTGCCAAAAAAATGATATGGGATTGGCGATTTATCGTTACAAAGGTAAATTTTTAATTTCTCTGATTTTATCATAAATTCTTTATTAATAAATTAAAACATGCATGATATAGGAAATAATCTATAAATTATATCGATTATTGTATTCTTTATTTAGAATGATATAGCTAAACTAAATTATTATGGTGTTAGGAAATTTTTAGTGACACATTTAACTATTTTTTGCTGAAAATTTTACGTTTCACAAAAAGATCATGACGATAAATATTTTTCAGTTGTCGCGTTTTGTTTATGTCACGTGAATTGGTATTCAAGTTAAATAATTGCGTAACGGTAATAAATGACGAATATTATGTCATCTATTTGGAACTCACGTGACTGATTTTATAAAACGATTTCAACTTTTTTTTTTCTCTCACTTCTTTTTACGGTCTTTTTTTTGTTTACCAACAAAGTAAGTTTTAAACTATATTCCAAATACAAAATATTCTTATTCTTGTCTTCGTTACTTGGAGGTATTAACTAAACTTATTTGGCAGTTTTTAGTACCTATGTAACCAGAACTTCCCAGAGAAAATTCAAACGAAGAAACAATAATAAAAATACTCACACCACCGTATACGAAATTTGAGGTGGAATGCAAAGTGAGAAAGAGAAAATTTGGGAAAAGGAGATAAAAGGTAAATATGTTTTTTTCTTAATGGGATAGGAGAGCGAGGCGAGTAAATCCCGGATAAAGATTGGTAAAATCTTTGCCCAAGTAGTGAATAGGTTAGGTATACTGTGAACGCCAACTTGATTCTATATCATTATGACATATCCTTAATGATTAATTTTTTATTATATAAAATACAGAGGTCGCAATGACGGAGGAATTGATATTAAAGTTGCCGTTCGTAAAATAAACTTCGTCATTCAATGCAAGAACTGGAAGAAGTGTATAAGTATGTTTTATTTGAATATGTTTTAATGTTTTGTTTTATACTTTTGAGTAAGAATTAATAAATTAAATGTTGTATGATTATAGGTCCTTCCGTAGTACGCGAAATGGAAGGGGTGCTAACTAGACAACCTGAATCAACAATCGGTGTCATAGTGGGACCCTCCATATGTCATTACTCGGAGGCAACTAAGGAGCTCGCGACGACCTCCAAATTCTCTATTAAGTTGTTGAGCGAGGACAACATTATTTTCCGTTTGAAAATTTATGCCGCTGGTCGGCAAAAAGATTATTTAAACTATATTTTATTTATATTTTATTTTTTGCCACTAATTATGAGAATATCGAGAAACAATTAAAGTCATTTTTTATGGGGTTTGGCTTGGCTCGACAATTTACCAAAAAGAAAGCAAGGAAATTCGTATTTTTGTTTAATAGAGATGATGAGAAGAGATATCGTAAAGGGATATATTTATTGTCAATATTTTTTTGTATTTCTTTGTATTTTTACTTGTAATTTATTGTAGTCTTAGATTTTACCCATTAATTTTTTTTCTTGTTCCCTCTCTATTTCTTTTTTCTTTCTTTTGTTTGGTTTTCTCCTTTGGCTTTTTCTTTTTTCAATAAAATGACCCCTGGTGGATCAATGATATGGGCCTTTGCAATATAAAGGGGAGAAACTGCCGGAAAAATAAAAAATTAGTTAATGCTAAATTTGAACATATTACGGCCTAAAAATCATTATTTTTAAAAATAAACCAACCTTTCTTAATCTTATATAATGGCGTCAAAATTAGTTGGACATTTTAAAAATAAAGTTTGAATCGATAATTAAAAACATGATATTTATCATCTAGTGAAATGAAAATGAGACCAGCCGGGGTAAGAATACATTTTTTATCCCGAATCTTGAGTGATCATCCGGTTTCTTAACCCAAAAAATATCCAGGCCAGGACTGACGGCGTCTCATACAGATTTCTACGAGTATATAGTATACCCTGCTATAAATGTATATTATTGACGCTGCCCAAATAGTTGAGATTGACCTATGTACGCTTCCCTATATTTATTTGAATTGGTCCAATATTCAGCAAAGTCCTATATATACTGGTATATACTCATCTTTAAATAATTGATTCAACCATAACAATTGTTTTTTTTACTTCCAAGTATATAATATCCGAACCGTTATTCTACAAAAATTAAATGCGTAACAGGCTTATAGCTCACAATACTAATACATAACATAACCTATTGCATCCAATCAACTACAATCCACCTATGGATTAAAATTGTCTCTGAAGATATAGCGTGCTTAATGATTTCGTATTTTTGTGACTGAAATCTATTAGCTTACAATGTATATCAACTATTTCATTCATTTTTTTGTCTGAAAATACGTTCCTGATAAAGGTGTACTCAGAATCAAGAAATTAATAACAAATTTAATTTCACAAAAGCAACAATAAAAAATACAAAAAAAGCATAGTATAATATTTGCACTTCATCCCAAGTTACAAATACGTTTAAATATAAGGCTATCTGCATCCATTCTTCGAGATTTCCAAAGTATTAAATCTAGGTACAATGGAACGGAAATATGAAAATAGCCGTTGACATCATTCGATTTACAATGTACTATCGTTTTTCATAATAGTATTATCTCACGAATTTTTTTTTATCCGTTCAGTGAATCAAAGAGCAATTTAAGAATTTTGATCAAAGGATGTCGACTTTAGGAGCCTAATAAAGTTGTTCAGCAGATATGAAAATATGTGAATATAAATTTTTATTTTATTATAATTGGATTAATGGTTATAGATGTTATAGATTTATGTTCATTTTTTTAATTATATTATCTCTCAATTTTTTTTTAACTAATTAAGGATAAAATGAATGATACTGTCACTTGCAACCTTATGAATTTATATAGCAACTGCAATATTTAAATTTTACAATATTATTATGAAAGATATGAATTTATTTTTAATATTAGAGATATTTATAATAGTATGCAAATTTTTCATTTATATTTATAATACTAATATAATATTATTTTATTTTTATTTTACTTTATAAATAATATTTTATTTAATAAATTATTTAAGTTTTATCCTCTTTACAATTATTATTTAATCTTATTATTTCCTTTTTAATTCTTAATATATTCAAAAAAAAACTTCACAATTTTTATCTTTTTATTATTTCTTAAATAGTAACCTTAAGAAGGCCAAAGGTTAAGCTTATTGCCATAAGGCATGTTACAACTTAAACATTATTGTTTAATCATAGTAAGAATATTTATATATGGTCTGAAGGCTGATTATTTTCTTCCTTATAAGTTTTATTTTACTTAAATTTAATTGCAACAAAAGTAAACTGTATTTATAATAATTTTTTTCATTTTTACAATTCATAGCAACAGTAAACTATATCTTGTAATTCTTTTTTTTAAATATTTAGGCTGTTATTTAGTACTGATGTTCTTGTCATATAGCCTGAATACTATTTTATTTTAAAATATAGCAAATAAGTATCAATTTTTTTTATATTATTCTTTTATATTATACTTTTATATATAGTTTTTTTTATTATTCTTATATATATATATATTTATGTATATATTTTCTTATATAAACTAAAAAAATTTTAAAATCAAATTATTTTTTAATTAAAATTTAAATTATATATAATATTTACTGAATTAATTGGAATAAAATAAACCAAATCATATATTGGTCTTACAAAATAAGAATATTATCAGATTATATAATCCTTTTATCTAATTCTTTAAAAAATATAAAAATAAAATTTGAGAAAGAATCTAAAGATAGATAATATAATTATTTCTAATATTTTATCTATAGTGGTAGTCAAAAAAAAATAACAATTGTCATTTTGCAACTTCTTCAATTTTAATTATATATATATAAATAAAAATGCAAATGAAAACCTTATAATTAAGATATTACTTTCAAGTAAAACTTTTCTTATACCTTAATAATAATTTTAGTTTATTAAGCTTTAAAGTGATTTTATCTAGGCAAAAAACTTAATATTAAATGAGATTACATTTCTGAAGACAGGAAATATACAATGCTACTAAAATATACATATTCATAAAGATTAATATAAAACTTTCACTAAAAACTTAAAAAAATTAAAATAATTTAGAGATTAAATGTAAAATTTCTTTATCAAGATAGCATTTTAGTCATTTATTAAGTAATTTGATATTTTACTAATTTTTTTGAAAATAGTATTTTAAAGATCATGGATTGTTCTTTTAATAATCTAGATCTAAAACCTATTGAAAACTATTAGCTTAATTATTAAAAGGAATGTGAAGTTATATGAGCTAGAAAAATTTAGTAAATTAAAATTTTTTGAATAAAGGTAAAAAATAAAAATACAAAAAAAGCCTTCTAATTGATTTTATAAATTCAATTTATGATATTATAACAGGATTATGAAAAAAAAAATGGTAAATAAATACTATTATTTTTTTTAAATAAAATTTATCACTTATTAACTTTAAAATTATATATTGTATATTTTAATTAATGTAATATTTATATAAATATCACTTTTTAAAAATTGTCATTTTTTTGACCACCACTGTATAACTTCTAAAGAAAAAAAGAGAAGAAAGAAATAGAAAACACTATAAAAATAATATTAAGAAATTAGATATAGAATATTTAATACTTATTAATATTGATAAAAATAGAAAAAAATTAATCAACTTTATTAAAGATAATTGTTATAAAATAATAAATAAAAATGATAAAAATTATTTTATTATTAACTAATAAATAATAAAGTATATATTTTAATATCTTTTATTAATAATTATTTTATTAATAATAAGAAATAAGAACAAATAGATTTATTTAATAGTTTTAATAGTTTTAATAATAAATTAAAATATTTTTCTAATAATTTTAAAGATGAAATTAAGCAGTTAAGACCAAATTTTTATAATACTTGTTCAATTTATGAAGGTACTGAAATTATACAAAAACATCATAAATATGCTATACCAATATTAATAGAAAATTATTACTATACAGCTAATTATATAAAAGATTATATAAATAAATATAATTATAATTATGATTTTAAATTTATTAAAGATAATAGTAAGAAGCTATATACTAATTTTATTGAAAATAAGAATATAGATTATAAAATTAATATTAAACTATATCATTTTAGTTATATATTAAAAGAAAAAAAAATACATTTGAATTTTTTTATTATTTAAATATAACATTATTTCCATTAATTATAAAATATGAATCTCATATAACAAAGTTAATTAAGTATATTTTTATATTTGGATTTTAATATTAATTTATTAATAATACAAACTAAGTTATCATTTTTTAGAAGCTTTGAATAAATTTTATTATAGAAGAATCAGATATAATAAATATGATAAGATAAAAAATACTACTGATTTACATAAAGATAATAATGATTGTTTATATACTTTTTGTGTAATAGTAGTCTTTAAAAGTTTTGAAGATAGTGTTTTAGTTTTAAATGAAATTAAAATTATTATGCAAATAGATTCAGAATATATAATTTTATTAAGATTTGCACTTTTATCATATATGAATTTAAAAGTTATAGGAAATAGATATTTAATTGTATTTCATTTAAATAAATATTTATATAATGAAAGTTAATTTAAAAAAAATTAGTATATAATAATTGATTTATTTTAGCAGTTTTTATGTTTATATATTTTAGAAATAATAATAAAAATTATTAGAAAATTTTAATAAATTTATTATTAGATATAAAATTTTTAATTGTTTTGAAATTTTATTGTAATAATTCTAAATATAACTATATTATAATAAAAGGACCTTAATATCATATTTTTTTATTTTATATAATGTAAGAGGCTTATTTTTTATTTAACATCAAAATAATTTATAAAGTAATATAAGTTTTATATAATGAAACAAAATTAATTGTCAAATAATTGACTATTGTTATGATTGGCTATTTTGAGGATAAAACAAATAAAGCAAAAGGAATATGTAATCATTCAAGCATTCTAATGAGCATAAATAAGTTTACACAATTGTAAGCTTTTGACATGTCTTGCATCAAGATCTATTAGCCATTTTTGTTGACTTTTTAATATTATTTATTAAACGAAAAGATTTAAAAGTTGATTTGAAAGGAAACACAGCGAAGTTTAATTCTTTAAGAATATTATGTTAAATTAAAATAGATGATAAATGTTGATTTAAAAGCTTAATAAGAGCTTTTCTAGGATATTCTAAAAGAGTGATTGGTTGGATATTATTAAGATTATACCCTATAGTTTTGGCTTTATTGTTCACCTTATTTTTTTTTCAGTTAGGATGATGGTATCAATATGATGATAATAATCCTTAACATGTTATGATTATTCACTCAAGACCTAAACCTAAGCTCTTTATTTTATAAGCAAATCTCATACTTTTGACTGGTCCTAGATCTTACCATATATTTTACTATATATATCAGATTTAAACCTTTTTGGAATTACCTTTTAAGGTTACTGACTAACCTAAAATTATATACTACTTTATACTGAGAGATCTATTATACCATAATTCTTACTAGGGATTATTTTTACTCAAATTAATACCGCCATATTCATAGAATGATTACCACAAGATTTGCCTAAACAGTGAACTAGCAGGAAATGATCTGATTATATTGACAAATATCTTAGAAATTGAACTTAACTTCAGACCTAATGATATACTCGATTAGATGATGTTGTAGCATACAATACAGTTTATTATCATCGTTGTTCTAATCTTCTAAATTTATAGTTAATCACTTTCTTACTTATGTAAAGGCCTCTACAGTGTATAATATTAAATTGTATTCATTATAGACTAATCAGTAAGGCCAAGTTTCTGTCAATCAAAGGTTTCATTTATATCTACATATTTTAACGCTTGCAGTATTTAGGCATGATGAACATTGATTGATAGATCAATTAATCAGATTTATACGTATATTAATACATATGGGAGTTTTGCTATTAAAAGTGAGTTCTAAGACTATAAATTGATTTTGAGTAAATGGATGATCAAAAAATAGTTAGGATACAAAAAACATACTTGTCCAATAAAAAATTGTACTAAAAGTATATATTGAGTCAAATCAATCAATTAATAAGGCGATATTAATTTTATCTATATAATATTTTATTATAATAATTATTTTACAAATATTAAATGGTTTTAAATATAATGCAACTATAAAATATCTAAAATTTTACTTTGCATATACTTGAGATTTTACTCTGAAATATTATTACACCAATTTGTAATACTTAAAATTTTACTATTGTTATATCAAATTTGTAACAAATGTAATACCAATTTCATAATACTTGAGATTTTGCTATTAAAACTATACTCTGAAGCATTGTTACACTAATTTCGTAATACTTGGGATTTTGCTATTAAAACCATACTCTGAAGCATTGTTACACTAATTTTTTAATATAATATATAACGTTTTTTTATTAAAAACTGTTTTAATTTCTAAATATAATTGATTTATTATATTTGAAATTATTAAAAAAAAAGTTTAAATATAAAATCAATTATTTTAATTCCAACTATTTTAATAAACATTTTCAATTATATGGGTAGTATTCTATTAAAATTGAGGTACAAATCATATGATTTACTATATCTTGTAACCCACTTTTAAT